CGGGCCTTGGAAATTTTGTCGTGGATTGGGATTATGGGCAACTGGTGGTGGATTGTAGGCTTTTGATCCTGAATCAGCATCTTCGGGAAAATCTTCTTCAAAATCCTCTTCTATGGGTACTTCATGATTTTCTTCTGCCTCTGCATCGAGCCATCCTCCATTTCCCTTATTAGGAAAGTACGGGTCTCCGGGGAGATGGAATTCAGCCATTATTATCTAAGCAAGAATAGGGATATAAGAAATATTTAATATAATTAGTAAACATAATATTCAAATACAAGTTTCTACGAGAGAAACTTATGGTTAACAGATAATGAATTATGTTCGGTATAACTCCTACTAAGTCCTCTTATAAGCACATAGTGTATACTAATTATATGCAACTCGAGTCGAATAGACCTTCGAATAAATAAACCTACTCTAAATCCACATCCAAACAAGGAAAAGGAAATAAAGCTTAGACCACTCATTTTAAGTCTATGCAACCTTAATCATATATAACCATGATGCATGCACTTAGTACTTATAGAACTATCAGCAAGAGTCCTTGGTTATCATGTAGTTGTTCTTAGTATATAGTGCCTAAAATACTCCTATATTATTTTAACTTTATGTTCTATTCTAGAGTTCTTCTGTATATGTATAGTTGGTAAGTTTTAGACATGTCGCAACACTACCATCACTCCCAAACACATGTTCATCGTATCTCGAATAAATATAGTTGATCAGGCTATATTTATCCTAGATATGATTACATAACTGTCCAGGTTTGGTTGCAGTGTCCAAGTAATTTGAAAGAGAGTATCAACGAAAGGTGAGTGAGAGTATAAATATTTATGTGTGAAAGCTTGTTTTCTGTTCTTTAATAATGTAAAATGTTCCAGAAAATCCTATATTTTCTTATGTAAATAAAAAGTAGTTTTATTCCATAAAACCGTTATGTGTACGTATTGTTGTACTTATATAACATAGTTTTATTTCATGATAAAACTATAAAATGAATGTTTTCTTTATTGTACTCTTCTCCATTTGCAAACTAGTGTTCAGTGTTTGTATTTCTTTGTAAAACCTGTAAATGTGAGTGTTCCTGGATCCACCAGATATTAATGTAAAATGTATTGTACTACTGTAAATTGTATGTTTGTAAAACTGGTACTTTAAAATTGTACTCATGTTTAGTGAATTATAAACTAATCGTATTGTTAATATCATTTTGATGAGTTATTATAACCATACTTTGACTAGATGGCCTAAATCGACACTTTGGAGGCGTCAGAATTGTTGATAACAATTGTCACTCATAGGCATGTCTGCCCAGGTGTAGCTTACAGTCTGAGTGCGGGATTGTCAATCTCATATAGATCTATACACATTTGTTTCGATCGCCATGATGGAGATTCTGGTTATAATCTTAGAAGTTTAACTATGTTGTTTAACTGTACAAACAATCTGAACATTTACTCATAAAAAGTATATAGACGTTACGTGTATAATAGTAATGAAAACCCAATCCTTCTTAAATAAATGATTAACAGTATGTTCCTTGTTTAGTATACTTGAAATATATTGGAAGTTGTTCACACTTGTCTAGTTTTGAATCAAATCCTTATTCTTTGTAAAATAGTATGCTCTTGTATACTTGACTCGTGAGTTAGTGTTCTTGAATCATAAATTATACATATTATAATTTATATGTACGTCTGTATTCATACTAATTGTTCATGAATGCAACTCCTTGCTCCACATGTTACAAAGGGTATTGAATATTGAATGAAATAACTTATATATATATATATATATATATATATATATATATATATATATATATATATATATACATATACATACACAAATATATATAACTAAAATTTAAAAGACATTCGTACAAATAACCAATACCCTAAGTCCACATATAAAACAAGGAAAATGAAATAAAACGAGTTATCAATCCTAAGTCGTTTAAATCGTGTATATATATATATATATATATATATATATATATATATATATATATATATATATATATATATATATATATATATGTATGTATGTATGTATGTATGTATATGATTTTTGGGGAAATATAAGTTTATAAAATATTTTAAAGAGTTTAACAATTTTGAAATACTTTTGGTGACTTGATGTCATTTTAACAATAAATTTGAAACCATTTGATTTGAAGATAATTGAAATCCATTTTGTAAGATATTTTGAAACCATTTGTTTGTAACACAAAATCCTTGTGTTAGACCTGTATTCCCTCCCACTCCCCCCCCTCCCTAAAATCTATAAAAACTATGAAAATACGGGGGTATGAACTCACCTTTTTTGAGTAGCATGATTGTTGAATAAATATTGGATGTTTATTTCCACAAGTGAAATCCCGTAGCAAAATAAGTCCTATATAGCAATTTGTATAGTATATATGCAACAAATTAGTGAATATAATCTTAGGAATGATTGGGAATTGGAATAATTTGTAAGTATAACTTACGAATTTGAGACTTAGAAGCTAAGATATTAAGTTGGGAAGTGTTCACGGCCAGGACCGGTGTTCACGGCCCAAGAACACTTGGTGTTCTTGAGTTCACGGCCAGTTGGGTGTTCTAGGCCCAATGTTCTTGATGAATGAAGAGCACCTGGAGATCCTAAGCAAGTTTTTAATAAGATTCAAAGGTTTTTCGTCGGGTGTTCTTCGTGTTTTTCGCGTGTTCTTCGTGTTCTTCGTGAAAACTAGTGAAATTAACGGGTTTCAGCCTAATATAAGAAGATTGAAGGATGTTTTTAAAATGTTCTTGGCTGATGATACTTGAGAGAGAATTGTTGGAGTTTGCGGCCAGAAGTGAAAGAATGAGGAAAACCAGTCAACACTATATATATATATATATATATATATATATATATATATATATATATATATATATATATATATATAGGGAGGAGTTCAGGGGCGAAGGATTCACGGCTTCGGTTCACGATCGGAAGGCAGTAGTTCGAACCCTAAGTAGGGGAGAACTGGTTATCTATGGAGATGGCACTAGGATAGGTTTCGAATTTTGTTCTGCAGCCAGGGATCGGTAGTATATTTAGCATGGGTACGCGGGCTATTTGGCTTATGTGGTGGATACGCGGATTAGGGATCAGGTTTCGGTTGCTGATGTTCTGGTTATTAGGGAGTTTGCGGATGTATTCCCGAAGGAGTTGCCCGGTGTGCCTCTCGAGAGGCAGGTCAAGTTCAGGATCGACCTTGTGTCAGGTACGGCCTTGACTGCCAAGGCGCCTTACCGTTTGGCACCGTGTGAGATGTAGGAGTTGTCATCTCGGTTGCAGGAACTGTTAGGCAAGCAATTCATCAGGCCGATCAGTTCTTCGTGGGGAGCACCGATTTTATTTGTCAAAAAGAAGGATGGTTCGCACAGGATGTGCATTGATTATCGAGAGTTGGACAAGTTAACGGTGAAGAAGTATTATCCCCTTCTACAGATCAATGATTTATTTGATCAGTTGTAGGGTGCATCTTGGTTGTTGTAACGACCCAAAATCAAGAGTAAAAATTCCTTTTTTATTATAGCCAAAACATTGAAACCATTTATTTCAAACATTCCAAAACATTGTTAATTAAAACATTTATCAGAGTTCATCCCAAAATCATTTACTACGGAAATCATAGGTGTGTGCACTGCGATCGACCCGAGCCCTTCTTTTCCAAATCGATGATACCTGAAACAATAAAAAAAAATTGTAAGCACGAAGCTTAGTGTGTTCCCCATAGCATACCCCACACACAAACCACATAACATGCATCATATCAGCTATACAAGCTACCTCTGCCACATATCATATATCACCTTAGCTATAAAGCTATCTCTAACATTAGCCATAAAGGCTATATCTACCGTTAGCTATAAAAGTTATCTCTACCCTTAGCCATAAAGGCTATCTCTACCATTAGCTATAAAAGTTATCTCTACCAAAGCCATAGAGACTATCTCTACCGTTAGCCATAAAGGCTATTTTTACCACAAATCAACACATAATCATGCCACACACCTCTACACAACAAGTATACCGATTATCATAAAATGGGACGACCTTGGTGCCTTAGACCCATTGGTATGGTGAGAAGACTCACCTCGAATGCAGAAGCTTCCTAAAAGAATTCACTAGTTGCTCCCTGGTCGACTTCCTAAGCTATCAATACCAAATCAATATACCCAATTAGCAATTGGGTCCCATGCCATAATCCTTAATCCATGCATGGGGTAAAATGACCATTCTACCCCTGGCCCAATATAATCCAAAACTAAGGCCCAAACACAAAACAAAAACCCAACACTATAATGTCCATAAATCCATCAATGGCCCAATTTTCCAAATTCAGCCTAAACCTCTACATGGGTCTTGCCATGAGGCCCAATCATTCTTTTCAATCCAACACACTTACCAATCCAATAATCCAATAATAATTCTCCAATGGCCCAAGTACCAAGCCCATTGGGCCCACTAAAGATAAATATTCCTACAAGGCCCAAGTCTTCCTAGGAGAGTACGCCCAGCGTACCTCTTCTGTACGCTTAGCGTACCGAACAAAAGGGTTGTACGTGCAACGTACTACATTGTACGCCCAACATACAAACAGCTGACGCACAAAATCCATTAAGTTCTTAATGCTTCAAACCAAGGGGGTTTTATAATACAAAAAGGCTTTGCAGCACAAGTTGTTACTCGTTTGCCTTCTCATTTGTTGTACGATGATAACTGAGATTCATTAATAAAAAATATATAATTAAAAGAAAAATAAAAATATCTCTCTTTCTCTCCCCCCCCCCTCTCTCTCTCTCTCTCTCTCTCGAATAAGAAGGGCGTAGTTTCTAGCCTAAAATACATTATGATACATCAATTTACGCCTCCATATTTTAATTTCTACATATGTAGAGTTGGAGGCATTAACCTAGTATCAAGAGGTTTAAGATTTTCGATAAATGCTTTAATCGTTTTCTCTATGTTTCTCTTGCGTCGCCGGAGAATAATGACCTGAGAGCCACCGCCACTTTGCCAGATTCCATCACCATCACTACTTTGTCACCCACCACACAACCCACCATTAATGATACCTCAATTCTCCCTCCTTCACCGTCTAAATCACCTACCCTATCTGATCTGAAGCCACCATCTTGTCGGTAAGATGAAGAATGATGAATTACAGGTAAGATGAAGAAGGTTCTTCAGGTAAATCGTACCGCCACTCCACCTATTGCCACTAAAACTTCTTGCGATGCTAACCCTCACCCAAATCATCAATAAATCGCAGCAACCGTCATCTTCTTCATTTGTGTCAGCTCTTAGGTCTTTTGACAACCTCCACCACTTGACCAAATTATAGGTAACTGGAATGAAATCGGGGATGATAGGGCCAAAATTTGAGACCAAATTTGTAGAAATTGGCACTCTACCTGTGTGTGTCTAGGGTTTTTATTGGGGGTGATAGAAGGTTAGCAAAGGAAGATTCTGATGCTAAAAGAACTTTAGCATTACTCGAAGCAATCCTAACAATCTCGATTCTCAAATCGTCACTATCTACAACATTTTAAATTTCGGAATCGGCAATGCCTCGTAAGCACTTCCCTCCCATATTTAAACCAATCGATTTCAAGAACCAATCGATTCTCATATGAATCGATTCATGAAAAACATTGGTCAATCGATGTTGTTCTACTTACCCCTAACGTCGACATCTCCCACTGCAAGTGGTCACCTTTGATTGTCTTCCTCTTCTCTCGTTGGTACTTGTCGGATGCTTCTCCGGTGATGAAACTGATGAACAGTTCATTTTTTGCTTATACCCATTTCAAGGAAAAGGGGAAAATAGTGAAGTTCTTTGAGAAAAAGGGAAAAAAGGATTAGAGAGAGAGAGAGAGAAATAGAGAGAGAGAGAGAGAGAGATGAAACTGAGGATGCTTCTCCGGTGATGAAACCGATGAACTCAGTTTATTTTTTGCTTATACCCATTTCAAAGAAAAGGGAGTGAAGTTCTTTGAGACAAAAGAGAAAAAAGGATTGAAGATTTTAAGAGAGAGAGAGAGAGAGAGAGAGAGAGACCCTTTGTAATTAAATAATAAAATAATAGAAAAATAAAAATAAAAATAAAAAAGAAAAGGAAAAAACAAATAGAAATGGATAAATCCATTATTTGAAGAGTTTTTAAAGTGTATTGAACAAAAACTCAACAAAATAAAAAATTTAGACTTCTTCCATCAAAAACTCATTTTTTTATGCTCATTGTCTCTAAATTGACTAGCCCGGATCTACGGGCGTTACAACATAATCCTTTGACATCTAAATACTACAGTTTGCTATCGGTGAGTTGTCAAAGTTTTTGTTAGATGTTTCTAGAATTAGTGTACGTTCAATTTCAGCCTCATTATCATACCAGAATTGAGATTGCATTGGTTCATCTGATGCTGAAACTTCATTAAATAGATCATTTAATTTGTTTTTCCATTCTTTGACCAATTGATTCTCAGGGTATTTCTTGACAGTATCATTTATTTTATCTTCCAACACTTTGTTTTGATGCATGAGCATGTCGTGCATCTCCTTTATTGTTGAAAGAGTTGCCTATTAAAGTCAACACGATGTGATTACGGTACATAGCAAATAAAAAACATCAATAAGTCATGGAATATTAATTAATACTATAGTAATTCATAATTCACATATGAATAAGTATTAAAGTATCAAGTGTTTCCCCACTTCCACTGAAAATTTCCCCTCCTTGATTTCCCTACGAAAATTAATAAATTAATAGTTTGTGTATTGATCTTAATACTATATATAAATCAATTATGATTACATTAGTTTACCAAAAATAATCACTTTTTGAATTTAATAATTCAATACATGTATTTATTAGTTTAAAAATTCAACATATTATTTATTAATGATTATATCATATTAATACCTTAAACCATCCATGACTTATTTTCACACTTCCTGCATCAGTTGCCTGTCAATATGTATGAATATAATTAATCTCGATTAAACAAAATAATAAAGTATAAATCTGATATGCATTATTGAATATAATAAGATAGTACCTAAACGTTTTCTTGAACTACATTACCAGAACCAGCTGATTCATTGATGACTTGAAATGGTTCTTGCAATTCACCCATACCCAATCCTATTGTCCTACACTCGACTCTTTCTCGCTCACACAGTTTATCAACATTCCAAAAATATATTGCTGGTCTGCCTCGTACAATCTTTACTTAATCGCATCGTACACTTTCTACATATAGTAGCTACAATAGACACAAATAAATATTTTAGTAAGTAAATACACTTTAATGAATTTCTACATGTAAGTAAATATAGCTATCTGAATTTTATACGGAATCTTACCAAAAGAAATATAATTGGCTCAATATAGAATCCTTTTTTGTTGTTTGGATTCCATGCACTATTTGTGTCCTTAAGGCAATCAAAAACATATCCACACCAATCGATGTCACTTAGATCCAGGTCTTTTGTAACTTTTGATAACATGGAAAGGTCACATGTTCCCATGCTCATTGACTGACCTAGTGTATTACACAGCATAACAAAGATGTTTACTTTAAAAAGTAAACGTGTTGTTTGCATAATAGCTTGTTGAACTGCCATTGGTCTAATATTATCTTCATCATCGAATTGTTTCTTCCAAACAGTTATCGCTTTGTCTGTAACTTGTCTATAAGCCATCTACTTTATTGCAACATTCCCTAGAGGCAGACCCAACAATTCGTGAATAAGCTCCCAATTTATTAGTATATCACCATGATGAAGATTGAGCACCATCCTATCTGAATCAAAATTCCTTACTGTATAATGCCCCATAATTGATGCACACCCATCCAATTTCATATTCAACAAATGCCCCAGACCAATAGAAGAAATATATGATTTCTGTTCCTCTCTAAGGTTATGCATACAACTGTACAACACATTTAGTGATGTGCGTACCTGTATTCGCCTTGCTTCTTCTGCATCATTTGCTACAAATTTAGGCACTTTCCTTGCTTTCCCTACATTTCCTTCTTTATTCTTTCTCCTTTTTTGTACAACTTCATTTTTACATAAATTTTTCACATCTTCTTTATCTTCATGTTTGAATGAATTATCATGCATTCTTTTTTCCTAATAACCACAAGTTGAGCATCTTCAAAATCTAAGTCTTCATTGTCATCAAACTTCTTTACATTTAGCTTACTTCGCAGATTATGTTCTCCTATTAAGACATATATAACAAAATAAATGATTATAACTAAATAATGAAATAAACTTCTAACAAATTTAATTTAAACTAATTCATTACTTGAATATGAGTTTAAAACAACAACTTCATCGCCCGTTATTTTACAACTATCAAACCATTTTTTTTTTGTCAGTTCATTTTCCCTATGTATTTCATTTTCTGTTGTCGTGTCAACACTTTCATTCAAAGCTGTCAAGATGTAGATAATATAATGGGCAAATGTCATTTTTGCCCATCAAACTTTTCGTGTTTGTTTTAAAAGGTCCCCAAACTATTTTTTTTGCACATTAAAGAAATATACTTTCATTTATCTGTTATAAAATACCCTTATGTTACCTTCTACCGGGTTGAAAGGTAATATACATGCCACGAGGGAAAATGTTGGTGACACATCATTTAATGAAATGGCCATGTGTGTTATAGTTATATTAATTTTGTATAAAGTAAACCGTTTGTGCTATACAATCCCTTTCCCTCATTGAAGAAACCCCTCCTCATTGAAGAAAACTCTCGTCATCCCACAATAGTAACGGAAGATCGATGGCTATATTCCTCTCAATCAAAGTTCATTTCCAAGGTGTGTTCATCAACAAACCTTTTTGCTATTCTGATGGTGTTCATCATGTGTTCAAGAACGTCGATTTTGCTGGTATGTCATATAATGAGTTTGTGAGTTTTCTTAAACGATTCACACAAGAGAAGTGTAAGAAAGTTTATTATTGTCAACCCGATTTACAAATCCCAGAAGGTTTAACCTTGATTTCAAACGAACGTCAATATCAAGAATTTATAGACATTGATTATGAATGTGGAGTACAAGTTTCTGTTTACATGGACCATTTTGGTACTACTGTGCATGTAACGAAGGCAAATGAAAATGAAATTGAGGATAATTGTTTTGTTAAGACAAACATGTCAATCAAAGGGGAAGAAGGTATTGACCTAACTGAAATTCAGAGTCCACAAGAAACCAACATGGAAGGAGTAACCTATGAAGGAGTAAGTCAGGGTAATGGAATGAGGAGGTCACAGAAGGTGATACAAAAGATGATGAAGATGATAATATCCTAGATGTGAAAGGAAAACCGATGTTTAATGAAGATATACCTTGGAAGAAGCAGTTGCCAATTCTAGGTATGAGGTTCACCAACCCTAAACAATTAAAATTTTTGATTTGTAATTATGCTGTATCAAATGGATATCAATAGTACTTTGAAAAAAACGACATTAAAAGGTTATTGGTTAAGTGTAGTAATGGTCAATGCACATTTAGGCTTTGGGCATCATGGATGAGTGAGGAGCACTCTTTCTAAATGAAGTCCCTTATCATTTACCACAATTGTGCAAGAAATTTTAAATTAAGGTCAATTTTTAATTACAGATGGATTGGTAGTCATTTCACCCGAAAAGTGCTTGAGAATCAGAAATTCAATGTTAGGATGTTAAAAGAGGAAGTAAAGACTAAATTTGGCGTAGAGGTTAGTATGGGACAATGTAGGAGAGCTAAGCAACATGCAATGTCTCTTGTTGAAGGTACCATCGTGGAAAATTATGCAAAGTTGTGGTCCTATGGTGAAGAGATAAAAAGGTCTAATTCAGGGTCAACAGTCAAGTTATCTGTGAACTCTATGTCAGATGGAAAAACTTACTTTAGCAGGATATATATATATATATATATATATATATATATATATATGTTTTCATGCACTAAAGGAGGGTTAGAGAAGTGGCTGTAGAGGGATAATAAACTTAGATGGGTGTTTTCTAAAAGGAATATGTACTGGTAAGTTATTATGTGCTGTTGGTAGGAATGGTACCAATCATACATACCCAATAGCTTGGGTTGTAGTTTGTGTTGAAAATAAAGACAATTGGAAATGGTTCTTAGAAAACTTGCAAGAAGATCTGCATCATGAAGGTGGTTTTGGTAGGACATTGATGTCAGATCAACATAAGGTATGTTTCTAATTTATAATGTCATACCTTTCAAATGTGATATAATTTTGAATAGTATGATGATATAAATGCAGGGGATAATTGAAGCTGTGAAAGATTTATTTCCAGAGATAGAACATAGGGAATGTGTCAGGCATGTTCTTTCCAATTTCAAGAAGAAATTCCCTAGGGCTCAATATTAGAAACTATTTTGGAAGGCTTGTAAGGCCTTAACTAAACCTCTTTTCAGTTCTGCAATGAAAGAGATTCAAATGATTAGCCCTAATGCTTATGTGTATCTGATGGGAAGGAATCCAAACTCATGGCCAAGAGCATTTTTCCTAATAGGAAGGGGGTGTGATGCAGTTGAGAATGGGTTGTCTGAAAGCTTTAACAATGTTATATTGGAGGCCAGGAAGAAGCCAATTATTACAATTTTGGAGGATATTAGACTATATGTGATGCAAAGGATGTGTAGTTTGAGGCAGAAATGAAGTGGATAGGGACATTTTGATGTATGTCCAAACATAAGGCTTGCCCTAAATGAATTGAAGACCCAACAAAGGTATTTTATTATATGAACACCATAATTGAATTCAATATCCAGTCAAGGTATTTAATTACCCCTGTTAACTTTGATTATTTGTAGGTACTGGAAAGTGCTTCCTAGTGGCCTAAATACATTTGAAACAAGAAACTTAGGAGAGTCTTATGGAGTTGATCTGGAAAAGGAAACATGTACATGTAGGATTTGGCAAATGAATGGGTATGGTTGTGTACACTCCGTGGCAGCCATTATTATTGTAAATAGAGATGTAGAGGCATTTGTTGATCCTTTATATCGTGCTTGCATATATATGAACACCTACAAGTACACAATTGGAAGCATGAATGGGAGTGCAATGTGGCACCCAATAGAATACATACCACCTTTGCCACCATTGAAAAGGAGATGCCATGGAGACCCACTATTAAGAGAAAGAGGGACAGTATTGAGGTTACTGGATCACACAGAGTATCCAAGGCAGGAAAAAAGATGTTTTGTGGTGTTTGTAAGAAATCAGGCCACAATAAGTCAACATGTGATGTAGTGTCAAAGCCTAAAAAAAGTCAGGTGAAAAAGAGGAAGGCTGAAGGTGAAGGTGAATCTAGTGCACTAAAGAAAAGGAAGGGTCAAGGGAAAAATGGGAAGGGAAAGGGTGAAGGTGATACTAAAAGTGGAATTGGTTTAAAAATGGGAGAAGGTGAATGTGGGTCAACAAGTGGTGTGACTAAGAAGAATGGTAAAAAATTAGGTACATTGAAATTAAGAAAAAAGTCAAAGAGGATAATAAAGAAAAAGTTGGCAAAAAAGGTTGCAGACAAAAATGGTGAAGGTGATACATCAAGCAAACCAATGGACTTGGATTAAAGATGTTTTTGGAGTATGTTAGTTACGGTGCAAGGTCTTAAATTAAAGGTGTCTTGTTGTTATGGTCTTGTTTAGTATGTGAACGTGTCTTGTTTAGTTTGTTTTATGTTTGTAACATGAATGTTAGTTACTTTAGTTTAAAACATAACATGAATGTATTTTATAATTGTACTTCCAATGCAATTCCACATAATAATGGACTTGAATTATAACAATGTACTTCCATTTGGTACATTTCATTACAAACCATACTACAAGGGGAAATTGAAGTCCTGCAACATCGACCTTCACATTTGGTACATTTCATTACAAACGATAACATCATATGCAAAGCAAAACAAAGGTTATAGTAGGAACTACATTTCATTTCATTCATCCATTACAACAGAGGTTATTGTCTTAACAAAAACCCCCAAAAATTTGGTTCTAAACACCATTATATCCTCAATAGGCACCATTGTTCAAAACAACCAACAACACATAACCTAATACATACATATATACTAGCAGATGACGGAATTAGACAAAAAGATACAACCTTCGACAACCCTGATAACCCAAAAGAGACTAATCGCCATCGTGCTAGCTACGAACTAAACTACACCCACCAAAATCCCCATCTACTGCATTCGACGCAAACACGAACCCAAATCAACGACATCACTGCAACTCCAACAACACCCGTCATGGTCACTTTCCTTTTCAAGTTACATATCTCCTCCCTAAAGTCGCCAAGCTGTTGTTGCATTTCATCTCACATTTCCTCAATCAACACTTGGGTTTCCATGGCATGAATTTTGTCATCAGTTGGTAAGTCTAAATCCGAAGCTCTCAAACCACCATATGAGAAGCTTTGTTCTGAGGCCATCTTCTTGATTTATAGGTGGGAAAAAAAAGCGAAGTTGATGATGTGAATGTTACGGATTAGGGTAACAAAGTGGTGGGGAAGACGGTTTTATAAGGGGACCATTAGCAATGACTTGGCAATTCTTGGGGACCAAGATTTCAATAGTTATATTCCACGGTGGTGTCCGTGTCACAAAAATAGGGGATAAACCTTTTAAAATCAGTAAAGGGATGTAATTAAATGGTCAAATGAGAGTATATTTCTTTAATGTGCAAAAAAAATAGTTTGGGGACCTTTTAAAACAAACACGAAAAGTTTGATGGGCAAAAATGACATTTGCCCTAATATAATCATTACTGAATACATTTTGATATACAACTTCTATTACATGAAAACATCATTAATACATGTTTGTTTATTTTTTTAGATGTTTAATCGATTGCCTTTTCTGCAACAAACTTTTTCACCTTCACTTTGGTTTTCATAGTTTCTTCTGTTAATACATATAAAACAATATAAACGATTATAACTAAATACCAAAATAAACTTCAAATAAATTTAATTTTTAACTAATTAATTACTTGAATCTGAGTTCAAAACTGCAACTTCAAGACCATTTCTTTTACAAATGTCAAACCGTTTTTTTGTTCGCATTTCATTTACCCTTTGTATCAAATTATCTGGTGTGCGGTTTACGTGTTCATCCAAACCTTTCAAGATAATAAGTAACACAATCAATATAGATTCGAATTGGTGATTAACATTTTCAATCTCATGTAATCATCATTACTACTTGTTTGTTTTTTAATTTTCTTCTTAGGTGTTGAATATTTCTTTTGTATTTGTCTTTTAATCCGAGGTTGTCCTGTTTCGTTTCCTCGATGGTCTTCATCTTCCGTATCAATAAGCACTGGATTGGATTCTTCATTAGTGAATTTCCTGAATGTTGTCTTTAGTAATATCCTCTCGCTTTTCTTTCTACCTAAAAATAACATTGAAATAACACATTCATTGATTAATCACCAATGAATCATTAATTACTAAATCAATTATACATGGTCACTAATAAACACATATTCAATCAAACAAATACTCAATGACAAAGTAATGTCTAATAAAATCAAAACTAAAAACAACCTACTCAATGAATACTACTATATAAAACCATACTTTCCCATCAATCAATATTAAATACATATTATTGAATAAAAAAAATCATAAACGAATACAAAAGGCATAACAGATACTATCAATGTAATGCTAGTATACTTAAACACCATTAAAAATCACTTACTTTCGTAGCTTAATCACCAATGAATATAACAATCACAACTGAATACCAAAGTATATCTACATTTGTTAAACGTAACCAATAATGATTATCACTACTTAAGAAACAGTGTAAACCATTTGGTCACATACACCATTATTCATTAGTTACTACATCATTCATAGGATCATAAACACATATTTACTTAATCAAGTACATAATCACAGGCTAAAATGCCTTTAACAATCAAAACTAAATACAACCTAAACAAGGAATAATATTACAAACGGAGTTCTCTACTATAAACAATAATACTTTACATTTAATCAATATTGAATCCATATAGTTCCTTTCATAAGTCAATAACAAAAATCATTTTTGAATTAAAATATCATTAGTGCATATAAAACACATAACATATGCTACCAATGTCATTCTTTTGCACTTAGACACCATTCAATCTTGATTAGTAAAATTAATTATTCATGTTCTGGTAATCATCAACTACTTCATTTGAACTTCAACAACAGAGTCTAAAAGAAAATTTAAAGAACCCTAATTTTAGGGTTTTCACAATCGTGCTAAAATTGAAAAAAGTCAACTACGAATACACATTCATCGACAAGACCAACTTTCAAATATAATCATAAACGAATATTCATAAGTAAATTTGATATTAGACGATTGAAAAATTGAAAAACAACTACGATTATCAATTTCGATTACACATTCAGAGACAAGATCGTTTTTTTCGAAATTTAATATTTTAAACAACATTCATTTACGATTTTGCATCACTGCACTTCATACAAGACGATATAACAAAAAAATCAAAATCCCTACTTCTAGGGTTTTCAGAATCAATTAAAATGTAAAGAATCAGTAAAATGAAATCGACGATTATACTCCTTTTCCAGTTATACCCTATTCATAATAGATTAGAAAGCTTACTTTTTCCACTGAGGTTCATAATCGACGACATTCCTTCACCTTCAACCTTTCACATACTCCAGAATGCACACAAAGTGTTTACGGAAGAACAATAACAATCAACTATCGTATAAATGTTTATTTTTTAGATTATTTTGCATTGCAGATGTAGATACGATCGAATCCTCCCAAAGACTGTGATTACTAAAACATAGGAACAGTTTCTTGAATTGTATCACCTACCCGATATATTCGAAATGGATGACATCCTAAAATTACTTGAATACCCTTTTCTACTTTTTTTTTTAATTCAAAAACAAATTAAAAGCATTTAATTTTATTTTAAAATTAATGATTAATGATAGCCTTAGATTTAGAAATTTTAATGTACTAGATTTGTTTTCGCGTTTTCAACTTTTTAGATGTTCTCATTTGATCATTTCTCTCTCTCTCTCTCTCTCTCTCTATATATATATATATATATATATATATATATATATATATATATATATATATATATATATTATAATTTTTTGTATTTTGTAATTTATATGCATATAAAGTCGTTTCATATATTTTATCTATAAATAGATAAAATATCTCAATCAAAATTTATCCCTAAACCATTGTTACTTTTATTTAAAGTTCTTGTTATTACATCTTCTAAAATGGATCCAAGATCATCTTCAACAAAGAAGGTTAAATACAACCGTAGCTACACAAACAAGAATTTTCCAGGCTGAGATTTCATTCTTTTCAAAAAATCGACTTGACAATGCATCAAATATCATCACTGATCTGAAGATTGAAAATCTCTTCGCTAATCTTGATATTGGTCACAGAGACAAGAAAGTTAAAGTGTTGGAGGATATCCAATCCCAATCAAAACACGTTGTTACTTATCATGAAGCTAATGCGTCAGACAAAGTGTTTCAAAACCTTTATGGGGATTTAGTTGAGTGCGGAGGCAGACCGAGTTCATAAGCCAAAGTAAATGTAAAGCAATAGTACATTGTTCGAATTAAAATCACAAAGAAAATGCAGCCAAAAAGTGCACTGTTGCATCTGGATTTAATATCCACACAGGAACAGACCACAAAGTTGCTAGCTAAAAACACCAAAAGAAAATGTAGCCAAAAAAGAGAAATATATGTTTGCATTTTGCCTAATTTTAACTGTTGTGACTTGTGACTTCATGACTCCTGAGTTACCTGTTGCCAAAAATACAGAAGTTAAAATTACAAATCAGATTATACATCCTGCACATATTCACAGATTAACAAAATGTCTTTACATGTTTACATTTTAACTCATTAACATGTTTAAGACCATTGTCTTTACATGGTTATTTCCAGCAATGGTGTATATATATATATATATATATATATATATATATATATATATATATATATATATATATATATATATATATATATATATATATATATATATATATATATATATATATATATATATATACAGCTGCCATTGAACATTGTATTAATACATCAAAAGTTGCAGGTCGGGAATATGACTTACCGAAAGGAAGGATATACAAAAGAAAACCAAAGAACATATGATTTATGTTTTAATGGGAAGTCCTCATAGAGAATGTACACGTTTGGAAATAACTTTTGATTTATTATTATATTTAGAATCAACACAATTTTAACCATGATAAACGAAAGTACCAACTTAAAGTGCTACATAATAAGATGTTAGTTTAAAAAAGTATAAATCACAAACCTGAAATGAGCTTAAGGGTAGGTTTGTTACAATGGGACATTTTGGATGATGCGGATAAAGGGGCCATTAACGTCTTTTAGACGAAAGATCGGATGGGGGAGCTAGTCAATGGGTCACCTTTTTCCATCAATTTTTTGTGGACAAAAAACATAACTCTTTGTATAACCGGCCTATCAAAAATGTCATAGATGATGTTTTTTTTTTTTTTGGAAAAATAAACTTTTTAACCTCTAATTTCTACGGTGGAAAAACATTCGAGGAGAAGACTATTTAAAAAATAATTCACATCTATTCCCACAAGAAAAAAAAAATTAGTTTTTGTTTTTGAAAGACGTTTTCTAAGTTCCAAACTTATGTGATATTTTTTTCACACACCAATCTTGCCATCACTGCTGCTACCACCTCCGCCAACGCCGCTACCACCATCAATGTCGCTGCCGCTGCCACCATCACCATTGCACTCGGTGCCACCACCACCACTTGTTTTTTTTATGAAGATTTAAAAAAACAAACATTTTTTTATGAAGAGAAAAGACATGGAAAATTATTTTTGGTCCACATTTTATTCCACACACATGGAAAAATACCGAAAACATTTTACATCTTCAAAAGCAAACACCAAATTAATCTTTCGACTTTTTTCAAATGCTAATTGATTTTCTTACCTACGCCTTATGCGATACCAGATTATCATGACCGAAGCAGCAAGGGCCAAACCCGCAATGGTTTGTGGCAACATGTTACTCTTATTATTCTTCTTATTCATGTAGACGTAGTAAAGAGGAAAAGGTGGCCTTTTTATGAATCCTAACTCGGAGAGTTTCTTATGTGATATTGCATACTGCTCCAGGAATGAATTTGGATTCTACAAGCAATGATTCAACATAAACATCAATTTTTAAATTTGTATTGAGATGATAAAATACGAAATAAAACCAAATATATAATACGTAGAAAATAAACTACATTACTATGATGCCCATGTGGTAGCAAAATGCAAGTATTTTGCTATTATAGGTATATATAATGTACATTGCTATATTATTAAGACATAAAACAAAGTACATTGTCCATACATGGTAGCAAGGGTAAAGTAGCCTGTTTTTCAATATACCTTACAATGGCTTAGTAAGAAAATGTTGAAAGCACAATGTTGTAATATAAAGAAATGAAAGTATGATGCCATAATAAACCAAATAAATGAAAGTGTGTTGCCAATTCTTGCAATTAGAATTCTATACCTTGGCATATGTAATAACATACAAGCGAAACCAAGCATTAGTCATCAATAATCGATCTGAAGGAAGCAGTAACAACCCCTCCGGCTCTTCGTTCAACAAGTTCGCCAACCTTTTTCCTTGGAACCCTCGCAACGCCCATGGATCCAGCTTCATGAACTCATCCTTATGCACTTTCAGCAGCTCCCTAGTTTCAAAAGTCTTTTGTTATATTAAACAAAGATATTGATAAAAGTATAAATATTTATGACATATACATGCATGCTTTCCAAAAACGTGGTGCTATCGAGTATTAAGAAAATATGTGAATGTATTTCGATTTATCATAAAATCCTACTTTCATTTCTTTTTATTACAACATTGTATTTTGAAAAATCTTCCCAATTATAGGAAAGTAAACTAAATAAAAAGCAATTTTCACTACTATAATTAAAAAGATTTTTCTAATTATAATGTCCAAATAAGAAAAATAAATAAAGTACAATACTATAATTCAGTAGACTTTGTCCTGATGCATAGTAGTACAATGTTGTACTAGAAAGAAAAAAAAAATAGATGCTATAAGTGCATAAATAAATGAAAGTAATTTGCCATATCTTTTGATGAGCCTATACAAAATTATAATTTGTAATGTCCCTTAAAACAACCAACAAGCCTTACTTAAAGTATGAGTTATCAAATTTAAGGGGCTTTCCAATCCAAGGTCCATCAAAGTCTGATCTATCTTCTTGGGCTCTATCCTGATGACGGCAAAAAACAAACCAAATGATTTAACGCAAAAATGTTTCATATAAATGCATAAAAGATGTAATTGTTTTTTAGGGCATTATAACTTAACAAATAATATGGATTATTTTTCTAAGTACAATGCCCTAATACGAAAATGGTTTGAAAAAATTTACTAGTACAATGTCATTATAAAAAAATTAGGATTGCTATTTCTTGTATGTAGACCATCTCCAAAGTCCAAACACGTAAGATGAAAAATTACAAGAATATGGCCTCCCCAAAGAACTACAATGTCCCTGTCGCTGCATAAGCCCATGCGATTAAACTTGGCCCTCAGATCAGATGCGCCTGCCATAAGTTTAAGAATAAAACTAATGTTAAACATTAGTATACAGTTAAGGCTGAATTCGGCGCGCCACAAATAGTTGATAAGCTAGCTTATTTTTTGATTTTTTTTAATTGTCATGTTTGGCATGTCAAAATGTGGTTGATGAGCTAGCTTTTTGAAAAGCTACTTAGAGTATCTTTTCGGGAGTTTTTTTTACAAACATCATTTTTTGTCAGCTAGCAGCTAGGGTTTTAGCTAGTCTGCCAAACATAGCCTAAGTGATGAAGAATAACACTTTACGTAAGGCTTAGATACAAGATATGACCATATACTTTCATTTATTTGTGTATTATGATATCATACTTTCACTTCTTTCTATTACCATTGTATTTTCTTATTAAGAGATTGGACTTTAAAAACTCAACCCAGTAATGCACTTTCATGTTTTTTCTTACTAAGACATTGTACATTTGGAATTTTAACCTATTGTAACAGTAAGAATTGCTTTGTATTTTCTTGATATTGCTATAGTTGGAGAGATTTATCAATGTACAATGCTATTATAGGAATATATGAAAGTAGGATGCTACAATAAAGAAACCAATGGAAATGAAGCTTTTTTCTGCTAATCGGAAATTATATACTTCCTAAACAACAATATTGATACGATTTAGAAGTTTATTATATTTATCTCTCTAGTAGTATGACACACATCAGGGAATTAACTTTAGTGAAAAACAACCTAGATCTTTATATGAGATGAAGAATGAGTGTATGGTTCAAAACCTTTTTCAGCATCCGGGAGTCTGCCTTCTACCGTCCATTCCTCCGAATCCTAAATGAAACACAAAATATGTAAAAGCGTTAAGAATAATCCTCTGTGATATTATTATTATTATTATTATTATTATATATATATATATATATATATATATATATATATATATATATATATATATATATATATATATATATATATGAAGATCTAAAAATTTAGAGAGTTTGAATTTATAAGAAAAGAGAAAAATATATAACTATTAAAATTGAATTGCATATATATATATATATATATATATATATATATATATATATATATATATATATATATATTTAAATTTAAACAAATAATTTAAATAAATAAACAATTAAAATAATTGTGTTCAATTTAGAAATTTAGTAATTATAAAGAAATTTTTATTAATGAATTAGATATGCATTTATTAGTACATTTATTACATTTAAATATTATTTGGAATTCAATAAATGGAAAAAAAAAACCCCACAAAATGAGATGAATATAATTTAATATAAATTTACCACTATATAGCATGTGACATAATGCATGAAAGAATAACAAGTGACAAAAATGATGTGTGTGTGATAAGAACCTACAGATGTATGTAAGAAAGAAGTCGCTTGTTAAGAGACAAGAGCAAGAGCAGTTTAAGGCCCTTTTTGGAAATAAGTTGGATCCTTTAGGTCAACCACGTTACAGTTAAAACAGAAGTAACAGTTCTGATCCAATAAGTTAGGAGCAAGTATCTTTTCTGTAATAAACCTGTAGTTGATGTTTTTCAGTTGTGAGTCAGATAATAAGTTATTTGTGTTCTTGTAAACAAGGAGATTTACCATCTCGAATTTGGCCCTATTAATCTAAGTAGTAAGCATTCAACTATTTAATTTAATCAGTTCCTATCATTTGGTTCCATTGCTGGGAAACTTCTTGAAGACATGGTGCATACCCGGAGCAATTCAGAAGAGGGAAACCAACCACCAGAACCTGTAGCAGTGCAACTAGCCGCAATCGCCAAGAAGTTGGAATCTATAGATTTGTTGCTGAGGGAGGTAGCAGCCCTCAAATCTCAATTGCACAATAAAGAAACATAGGTTAATGGTAGACATGATGAGGGAGATTCATCTTGGCATAATCAAAGGCACCGACCCCATAAAAAAAAAAGTTTTTCCTACCTTTAGTGAAGGAAATCCACGGGGTTGGATTCTTAAAGCAGAGAAATATTTATGCTATTATGACATTCCATATGAAGAAAAAGTGGATGTCACATCGATACATTTGGAGGGTGATGCATTGGATTTTTATTCTTGGATATCTACTGATCAATCAGCAGATTTTTGGGAGGGTTTTGTTCGAGCCTTGCAAAGAAATTTTGGACCCACTGAGTTCCAGAATCCGGATGAATTCTTGTGTAATGTTAAACAAACAGGAACGGTACAATAATACGGACAAGAATTTGCCAAACGATCTTCACGGGTGTCCAATTAATTGAAAATTTGTCTTTTAGGAGTGTTCCTTAACGGCCTCAAAGAAGAATTGAAGGAGGATGTACGAATACAGAAACCACAAACAGTATACAAAGCGGTAAGTATCGTTTTAGAATTTGAATCTAAACTCAGCCATACCCGATTTGGGAGAGGATCTACTTGGACAGCACCATCAAAAGCATCTCAAAATGAGTACAAAGATATGACTCCAACAAAAAAAACTTTTCCAAAAATAATACCAAACCACCCTTGCGAATTTCTGATGTAGATAGGCAATCTCGATTTCTTAAAGGGGAATGTTTTCGGTGCGGTGAAATTATGGACCAGGTCATCGATGTAAAATAGGAACTCTCAAGGTGCTGGAAGTGGAAGAAAAGATTGAAGACTAGTCTCCTAATGAAACTGGAGAGATGGTTGAAGATATGAATGATGTGGCAGAGGTTAGTTTACATGCCATTCTTGGAAAACCCCATCCCAGAACTATAAAGGTTCAAGGTATGCTCCAATCTACAGAAGTAATTATTTTAATTGACGAGGGATCAACACATAATTTCATCTTAGATGTACTAGTTAAGGAATTGCGACTTAATACTCAATCAGTGGCACCGTTTGGTGTTCAGATTGGAAATGGTGATTTCATCAGATGTGGTCAAATATGTAAAAACCTTCCAATATAAATCAATGATATTAAAGTTGTCCAGGACTTCTATCCTTTTTCGATTGGTGGAGCAGATTTGGTTTTGAGTATTCAATGGTTGGAGATATTAAATACAGTCCAAGCAAATTGGAAACAGATGTTTATGATTTTTAAGGTAGATGGTAAAACTTATAAGTTGCAGGGAATTACTACAGGTTCACAAAAGTCTTCTAGTTTTTAATACTTGGCTGTTGAACCGGTTAATCCACCAGAAATTCCCAAGGTGCTTCCATCGGTGACCAGCCGATATGATCAGGTCTTTGAAGAACCCAAAAGTCTTCCTCCGAACCATTCACAGAACCATTATATTCCCTTACTACCGAATTCTACACCCTCCCCCCCAATATTTGTCATTATCGATACCCTCATTCCCAAAATGCTGAAATTCAAAAAAAAAAAAAAACAAGTGGAAGCATTGTCAACAGCGGGATTTATTCAACCTAGCAACAGTCCCTTTTCAAGTCCGATTCTACTTGTCAAGAAAAAAGTCAGCACTTGGAGGATGTGTGTAGATTATCGAGCCCTCAATAAAATAACGATCGTCGACAAATACCCAATTCCAAATATTGATGAATTGTTGGACGAATTATATGGAGCTACAGTTTTTTTCAAGCTGGACCTTCGCTCCGGTTACCATCAGAACAGAGTTCATGGACCGGACATTCCAAAAACAGCTTTTCGTACTCCTTCCGGGCATTATGTGTTTAAGGTAATGCCCTTTGGTCTAACTAACGCCCCTTCCACGTTTCAGGCGATCATGAATGACTTGTTCCATCCTTATTTACGTCGTTTTATACTAGTTTTCTTTTATGATATAGCAGATAGCCCAACATGGAATAACATCTTTTGCACCTTGAGCAAACTTTGAAATTACTACATGATCATCAGTTCTATGTTAAGCTTTCAAAGTGTTGTTTTGGACAATCTAAAGTTTCTTTTTTGGGGCATATCATAACCGAGGATGATTTACAAGTGGAACAGGAAAAAAATTATGGTTGTACAATCGTGGCCCATCCCTTCTAATGTTAAAGAAGTTCGTGGTTTTCTCGGTCTCACTGGTTATAACCGACGTTTTGTACGAAGTTATGGTTTGATTTCACTACCTTTGACTAATCTTACAAATAAGGATGGTTTTATGTGGTCTAACGAGGCATTAGATGTGTTTACCACATTGAAACAAGATCTACTTTCAGCCCCTGTTCTCCAGTTACCAGATTTTTCCAAGACATTTGTAGTTGAATGTGATGCTACTTCAGCTGGAATTATTGCTATTCTTTCTCAAGAGTAGCATCCCATTGCTTACTTTAGCAAAGGATTTTCTCCCTCCAACCGATTTAAGTTAGCATATGATCGAGATATGTTAGCTCTTGTTCTTGCTGTTCAGAAATGGAATCACTATTTATTGGGTCGTCACTTTCTTATTCGCACCGATCATTACACTTTAAAATTTTTGTTGGAACAATGCATCAATGCCACTGAACAACAGCGAATTTTACTCAAATTAATGCCCTATGATTTTTCTATAACTCATAGAGCTGGAAAAGAGAACAAGGGAGCGGATGCACTCTCTAGACGAACCCATTCAGGTGAACTATTCATCCTTTATGTACCCTATTGTGTCGAAATCGCTGATGTTAAAGAAGGAATTAAACAAGATCCTTATACAATCGACATTCTCCAACAGCTCCATACAAATCCTTCCTTAGTTCCTGATTTTTCTTCACATGAACAACTCTTGTTTTTCAAAGGAAGGATGGTTATTCCAGATATACCTGATCTTAAACTTAGTTTAATTCAAGAGTGTCATAATTCACCAGTTGGAGGACATGGCGGTTTTTTAAAAACCCTTAAATGATTATCCCTCCAGTTCTTTTAGCCAAAAATCAAACAGGAAGTCAGGGTATTCGTGCAAAATTGCCTCGTATGCCAGCAACAAAAATACCAAACACTTTCCCCGACTGGTCTCCTCCAACCCTTACCAATTCCTATTCAAATTTGGGAGGACATTTCAATGGATTTTGTTGTGGGGTTGCCCCCATCCAACAACTTTGATACTATTTTAGTGGTAGTTGATCGCTTAAGCAAATACGCCCATTTTCTGAGTTTGTCTCACCCCTTTACAGAAAAAAGTGTTGCTGCCCTTTTTTGTAAGGAAAGTGTTCGTTTACACGGTTTCCCACGTTCCATTACCTTGGAGTGTGATGTTATTTTCTTGAGCACTTTTTGGAAAGAACTCTTTCGTTTGAGTCAAATCAAATTGCAATTGAGTACCTGTTACCATCCTCAAACGGATAGTCAAACAGAAGTTCTCAATCGGTGTCTCGAGGCCTACTTGCGTTGTTTTGTCCATGAACAACCAACTAAATGGAGTTCATATATAGTATGGTCTGAATACGCTTATAATACTGGGCACCATACTTCCACAGACACAACTCCTTTTTCCATTGTGTATTGTCACACCCCAAAACCGGAACGGCGGAAACGTTCGGGGGCGGAGGACGTCATGTACAGTATCATAACAATGTAAAGTAGTAAACAAGCAACGGCATCATCCATTGCGTTAATAGTATAATTTCATATAAATGTGTTCTTTCATTGTAATGAGACACCAAAACATGAATCAAAATAAAAGACGAGTCTTGAGTGTGCTTCGTCTTCTCAAAACCTAGTCATCGTACCTGTCTACTGGTGACCTGAGAATACAAGTTATTTTGAAAGCGTAGATCAACATTTAAGCTGGTGAGTTCATAAGTATTTAGTGTCAATGTTTGTATAAGTTCGATGAAAATGTTTGTAAATGTTCAATGTAAATGTTTGTATATGTTTGAAAACTCCTATAAAATTCTATATTTTCTACTAGTATAAAAAGTAGTCTTTTACCAAGACCCGACTATTTTGAATGTTTGTTTCTCTGTAAAAGTGAATGTTTTCCCAATTGCGACTATCATTACCAAAATATATTTTATATTACCCTTTATGTGTGAAGATCACAATTGGAATATAATGGGAAAATGTATGTGTGTACTGCAGTATTTTACGTATTAATCGTTGTAGTCATAACTACCTTAACACAAATGGTTTAATTAAGGCAAAATGTTATATGATTGTTACCATGCTAAACCGGCTATAACACGACGATGAAAGAAGTTGGAAGAAATGACATTTGGCACCCGTGGACTTGCAAATCCCACTATAGCGAACAACAAAGGTGTAGGATAGTCAATCCTGTATAGATCTATACGCAAACTCACGCTCTCCCTCCAGGAGATTCTAGTTACAAAACGTGGCACAATGAAATGGTCGTTGTGTCACGAAGTAGTATCTCACATTATGTTATCTAGAATCTTGTTATAGTATACTTGTTATAGGAATAGTATTCTATGTATAGTATTCTCTGTACAGTATGCTATGTATAGTATTCTCTGTCTAGTATTCTCTGTTATAGTATTCTCTGTTATAGTGTTCTTTATCTAGTATTCTCTGCTATAGTATTCTCTGTTATAGTGTTCTCTGTCTAGTATTATCTGTTATAGGAATTGTATATGATAGTATTCTCCTAAACTATACCTATTATAGTTTACTAGTAATTTATAGTATTTGAATGAATGAACGTATACCTTTGCTACCCAAAGGTACTGAACTGATTGAATAGAACTTTTATGTCTACATATGTATAAATAATATATAACTAAGGTTTAGATGACACTCGGACAACTAACCGATACCATAAGTCCACATCCAAACAAGGAAAAGGAAGTAAAGCGAGTTAGCAGTTCTAAGTCATTTAAACCTCATTTATATAACTATACATATCTAGGCATGCTTTTGACAGTTTATATAAGTTTCAAGAAGTTTAATGATACAACTGAAAGATAAAATAGTTTGAAGAAATATTGATTACTTGATGTCGTTTTGTAAAACGATTTGAAAACAGTTGTTTGATAACACAGTTTGAAGGATATTATGTCCTTTATTTGAAACACAGTTATAAATTACATGTGATTGATTATATAACTACATGTTTTCTACTTGTATTCCCCCCATAAAAGCATTTAAAATCATTTAAAAGATAGATTAATGGGTATGAACTCACATGTAGTGAGTGACGCGAATGAAAGATCGGTAAAGGATGCTAAGTGTCAAGTAAAGACTTTAGCACACACAGATCCTATTTAACATATAATGACACGTATATGATTACAATTAGTGTTTAGAACAACCAATATTGTAATGGAACAACCTTAGGGACTAGGAAACACTTGCATTGAAGTGTTAAACCACTTAGGGTTACATGTAAGGGTAGTACGGCCTCACATTGGAGTTTATGGACCATATGGTAAAACCACATGAGTTTATGGCCCATGGGCTTATGGCCCAATGAGTTTACGGTCGTAAACTCATGCTAACTAATACTATTTTGTGTTTAAGGTCCTATGGTTCACTAGGAAGTGTTCTAAACTTAGTTCCAGGGCTTAGGAAGGTGATGTACCAACTTTGCACCCAAAAACTAGGGTTTACGGCCTTGGGAGATGCCTTGGCCGTAAACACCTTTCACTTATGATTTCTTGATGATTTCTAGGTGTAAACTAGTTGATTCAAGTATATAGCAAGCTAAGACAAGAGTACTTACAATGTAGAAGCTTGATTGGGTGTTTCAAGTTCAAGAACACTCACTTGAAGATCTATCAAAATGGAATGATTTCATGGATGAAATCAATGATCTGTGACAACCTGAAATTTTCTATCCTGTACAGTCAAGCACTTCATTGAAAGTCAAACTCAATTCTGTCATCTTTTAGCACAATTAAGATTTTATTTGAGCGTTCTAAGCCTTGTACACTTAAGGGATAAGTGTCGGGGTTTATCTGCTGAAGTTATTACTCAAAGAACAACCCTTAAACAACTTGTCAAGGAGTTCACCGCCACCTAAATGGAGTTTACGGTCGTAAACTCCATAAGGGCCGTAAACTCCTCCTATATGATGAATGTTAAGCCATTAGTTCATTTCCTTCTTTCCCTTGGCTGAAATCCTCTCAAGTATCCTCCTGATCTTCGACCCCGATCTTCAAAACTCGTAAGTTTCTTGTCCTAACTAGTTGATATCTTAAATGAACTAGTGATCTTACATGATTTCATCTGTGAAATCATTCCATTTTGTAGATCTTAAAGTTTCACCAAGAACACAAACTAGTGTTTTTGGCCAAAAACGACCATTCAAGCTCCTATATCGTAAGTACTCTTGTTCTAACTCATTGTACACTAGGTTTCACATGTTTAGGGCTTAGAATCACAAAGAATCATGTGATCCAAGGAGCTTACGGCCAAGACATGTTCTTGAGCCGTAAACCCCTTTAAGTAGGGTAAAATGCACCCTAACGCCTTACCAAGCCTTGGAACTTAGTATAGAACCTTGCACCATTGAACTAGGGACTTCAAAAACACGAAAAGATACTTCATACCATAACTTTACGGTCGTAAACTCATGGGGAAGTGGTCCCCAAGCCGTAAAATCAATATAAGGTCATTCTTGGACCCTAAACCCACCTAGCCTCTTGTTTAAGCCTTGGAGCACCTAACCACTTAAGACATGATAGCTTTAGGGCCTCATTTGGAGACCCATTTGAGATATTACGGCAAGGAGTAAACTCCCCTGGGATGTAAACTCCAACAAGTATGGTCCTTGGACCATAAACTCAAACACGATGCCTTGCAATCCCTAGTTGCAACCCAATGGCCTCCTAGCACTTGACCAAAGTGTTTTCCACGCATTAGGACGTTTTTACTTTTCTAATTAGTGTTATAATCACTAATTATATATATACATATGTCTTTATATGTTATTAGTGTTGGAATAGTGTCTAAGGCTATAACTATATTCGGTGGTGCATGGTCCTTTTGGGTTGCCTTCACCATAGCAACTTGAAGGATGATTTGTTAAGAGAGAGTAAATATTATAAGGAATAATATTTAGCTATTTGATTAATATAAGTCATAAATTAATTGGTATTAATTGGTGACTTAAAGAGATTAATTAAATAAGAGGGTATAAACTGTCAATTGTTTGATAGTTAGACATTAGACTATAAATCCATTAAGATACTCCTTGGACGGATTCTAAAAGCTTTAGGATAGCTCAAAATCGTCCATAGGGTTATCTATGGAATGGATTTGGATAGCCTTAAGAGAAGATTATCCAATTAGGGTTTAGGGTGAAACCCTTAAGGAGTCTAAAGTATAAATAGGCCCTTGGGATGTGGAATTCGTGTACAACCTTTCAGAACCTAAAGCAAGGAACCTCTGGTCGAATTCCATCCCCTCTCCTCTCTCCTAAATCATCTTGCTTGCTATTGGTGTTTGTAAGCCATTAGAGGAGTGACAATTGTGACTCTAGAAGCTCCAAGACAACAAGATCAACAAGGATTCAAAGGTATGATTCTAGATCTGTTTAATATTGTTGTTTAACCTAATTAGCCATTAGAAGTCTTGGATTCAAAAGCATGTTTATTAGAAAGCCTAGATCCAAGCAATAGGGTTTTGCATGCGCACATAGGAAAGTTCTTATGGCTAAAACCCAACAGTGGTATCAGAGCCTAGATTGGTTTTCTTTAAATTGTTGCTTGAATAACTGAAACAAACCTGCAAAATTCGATTTTTTGGGTTTTGAGTCACTGACTCGTCGAGTTCCAAGGTGGACTCGTCGAGTAGGCCTGACTCGTCGAGTCCCCTTGTGCACTCGGCGAGTCCAAGCGTCAGGAATGGCCAGATTCGGGATTTTTTCATAATTATCTTATGGAAACTTACCTTAATCATATTAGATCAATGTAAATCCGATTTTTTGATAAATATGACTGTTATCTTGATCTAATTAAAGATATTTATCATCTAATAAAATATTTAATTTCCTTATATGATAATAATTAATTATTTTGGTAATTATCTTCAAAGAAATCAAGATAAATCAAATAAAGATAATTAGAATATTAATTGTTAATTGGAATTATTTGTTATTTGATCCTCATGTTTTAAATGTTTAAAACCTACCCTAAGTTTTGAAATTTATATTTGTGATTAAAAGTTTTAATTTAGACAACTTAAATTTCAAACCCTAGATTTTGAAAAGTTTAAAATGCAACCCTATACTTATATGATATTACTAGAATAATATATATATGTATAACTAAATGCTAGTCTTACCGCTAGTAGGCCTCATTCACGAAGCCGATCTATAAGGTGGGTATAAGGTTGCGGCCTATAAAATGGCGCTTAATGGGTGTACACTCACACCCACCGCTTGCTTGATTGGTGGAGGGTCGTTAGCCGAACGGGTAGGATAGGGCAACCTCATCCTCT